CCCCCTCCCAGGACTCGTCCGAGAAATGGAGCTTGGCGCGCCGTTTTCGGGACTAGTGCTCAGCCCCAACGGCGAACTCACGGTGTCGCCCGCCGACAGGGTAGGCACGGAGAGAGGGGCAAGGAGGTTGGGTGGGGGCGGGGTGTATTTCACGATAAAGCAGATTTTGTGTACTCCGTAGGATTCGATGTCTGGCCTATTTGCTGTGCTGAAGGGTGCGCTCTGCGCGTGGGACACACTCGCAACGCCTTGTAACCCGTGTGTGCTCTCGACCTTTGTAGCAACATAGAACCTGTGTCCCTCGTGAAGCCGGAATTACGATTACGGAGTAGCAGCAGGCTTATGGACGTTTTCCATGTCACTGAATTCCAGGTAACGCCAATCCATTCCCATGATCTGGTGGTGTTTTGCAACGTTTGTGTCCTGGGTGTCGCCGAACGTACACATGTACTACCACACGGTACTTTTGTTCGTTCTGCTGATGCTGCCCACGTAGACGCCCCTCTTACTTTGATATTGCGCGTTGACGATGCTCTTGGTTGCTTTCCGTCTGTTTCACCCCCGCACCTCCCTAGCTTCGCTAGATCTTATATGCCCTCACTGTTGTCCTCCCCCCCCCACCGTCCCTGTCCCTCTCCCTCACATGCAATCCCCCTCGTACGACCGCCACAGGAGGTCGTCGAGACTCTGGGCATGTCGGTGATAGACTGCTCGTGGGCCCGACTCGACGAGATACCTTTCCACCAGGTGCGTATCGCCCGGACACCAGTAGGTAGTCATGGCTTCGTGTACGCCTCGGCTCCCGGCGGTGCGTTTAGCTGTATTAGTACCTACGTGTGCTGGGCCATCTGCCCCGCGGGGAACAGCAAGAGGGGTGCAGTCTTGACCTATACATACCGCGCGACCATGACCATCGTCCCTCGGAGGGATCGGGTGCCCTCCATCCCCCTCCCCCTCACTCCCAACATCGTGGACATATCATCCGTCCAGATGACCGTAGCCTTCGTTCATCCCAGCGACATGGATACCTACGCTCCAGTATGCTGCTGCTTCTCCGTTCATGCGCGGCGATCTATCGTGCAGCCTCCTGAACCGGACTGCGAGCTGGAGACCAATTCACGAGAACGCAGCAGCAGTAGAGTAGCGAGCGTAAAATGCGGAGGATTTTGTAGACCGTGTGAGTGTCTCTTCTTTCGTTGTTCCTCGCCTGAATTTCTTCGCTCTCGTTTTTGCTGCTCCGACCTTGCCTTCAGATGCGGAGGGGCCACCACCGCCTGCTCCCCTTCCTCGTCGCGGCAAACCCGGTCAACTACGGGAAACCCATGAAGCTCACGTGCGCGGAGGCAATAGCGGCCACTCTGTACATTGTGGGGCACCAGGTATGGTGTGAGCTTGTGCGTGGTGTGATTACTCGTTCATAAACTCTTGGGGTCGTGAGTTGTATTTTCTTTTTTTTAATTGAACCGGACTGGAAGGCCAATCGCAATCGTATCCCTTGGTCGAAGGTATTCCAGTGACGTATTGCTGCCATGGATTGCCCACGTTTTCGCGTCCTTGTTGTACGGGCGGAGACGCACGTTGGTTGGAAAAGACGAATGATGAGCGAGGCAGGGCACTCAAACGGTCAGAACAGGCGCATGATATGTACTAGATGATATGAAGACACTTAGAAATACACGCGAGACTATCAGATACGCGGCACGGTTATTCTAGTTTGCACTATTTAGGCGAGCACCGCAGAAGGAATGCGAATACCTTCAAAAAAACTCTCTTTGGTTTGTGTGGCTTTCCTCCTGTGGGACCTAGGCTAGCGTTTCCAACACCCATTCCAAATACCTGCTAGGTGTAACAATAGACGTGCAGAATGAAGGGGATGACACACACTCATGGGTGTCTTTAAAGTACGGCAACGCTGCGTAGGAAGAAACGTGTATTGCCTGCACCCGCAGCAGTAAGGAAACTTACCCATACAAGAGTTTTTTTTATCCATCGGTACAATGGCTCGAAACAGTGCAAACGTGAGGCATTCGAACGACTGCTTAGGGGGGGCATACCATGACATTCGGGATGACCACCGACCGCACAGGCGGGCGGTTTCATCTCTTGGGGCACACAAACACTTGAAACAACCTATCATTATCACACCCTGACCATCAACACGTCCCCCGAAACCGAATGAGTCTCTCCCGCCTTACTTTAATGAGCGGTTGCTTGATTTTTTTTTTCCGACTTGCCGTGTGTCGTTGACACCCACGTCCCGTACGAAGCCATCGCGACCCGTACGCTCACTCCGACTCTTGGGGCCCAAGAGTAGACGGGCGCCTTCTTGAATCCTTGCGAACACGCTCCTAGGTACTCTGTCTATATTTCTCTTTTGTTGTGTTTGGCTTCTCGCACGGGTGTCTTCGTGAATCCTTGCGAACACGCTTCTAAGCGTCTTTTTTGTTGTTGTTGTTGTGTGTGGCTTCTCGCGCTTAGGACGAGGCCGTGAAGGTGATGGACCAGTTCGGGTGGGGGGCGGAGTTCCTGCGCGTGAACGAGGATGTCCTGGAGACCTACGCGGCGTGCGCGGACGGGGCCGAGGTCGTCAAGGCCCAAGTGAGTGTGTGTAACGGCGGCGAGATTTTTTTCCCGGCAGCGTTTCTCGCGTTTGCACCTCGCCGGATCGGCCTGCGGGGTATTATTAGGAACAACGCCGTGTTCTTGATCCCTTGATGTCAGTATTTTTTTGGTAGATGCTTGGTTTTCGAATCTGATCGTTTGGTACTTACGGAGCAGCGCAACAGAGGTGTAGTGGTACGGATTTTTCTTTTTTCCGTTCAGCCCCTCTGTGTTGTGTGGTCAGGTACCGCCTGACGCGCTTCTACTGATGTTCGGCCTTGTGGGACTCTGTTCTTCTGGTGTTGTGTTTTTCGGGCGGTCTGAACTGTTTGCTGTTGGTTTGATCCAAAAGACAACAACGTGATCGATCTGCTGCGGAAGGGGATTTTTTTCATCACACGTGTCATTCGTATTTTTGTTATCGCGGTACCTTGCTCTACCCCTTCCCCTCATACAACGCACATCCCTTGTATCTTTCACCCCCCATCCCCATCTACCTTTCGTGGTGTCAGTTTTTGTGTTTCTGCGATGTTGTTGCTGCTGGTCTTCGTTGTCTACTTTTTGAACAACATTTTTCCACCTCCCACCGAACGAACACAAGAAACAACGTCATCGGATCCCGTCGTTTATTTGCCTTGGTTCCGTTGTTATCAAAAAGGCGGCGTTTTTGGCACGATGCGAAAAAGAGGCCAACTCCCGCCGCGACGCCGTCTCGATGGAGGACATGATGCCTCCCTCGTACTCCGACGAAGAGGAGTACGGCAACGACGGTTCCGAGAACGGTGTCGAGAACGGTTCTTCTGAAGGCGTCACGGAGAGAGGCAAGTTCTGCGACGCTCTGTTGATGCCCGCGGCGGTAATAGTGGCATTTTTTTTTTTGTCATTCCTTGCGGCTACATACAGTGTACAGTAGTCACCTCAGATGTGAAGACCGAACAGCAGTGGAGGCCCGCACGAGAGATAGAGGGTCCAAAGGAAACTAAACCACGTTTTTTGTGTGACATGTCTACGAGGCATGCGGGAGGATATTGTGTCAAGTTTTCTCAACCCGGGGCGATGTGTTTGCGATGCCCACGTAAAGAAAACAATTTCTGTGCAGCTTTGGTCAGAGTAGCGCGAAAACGGAAGGACGGCAGGGCATCGAATGGATGGACGGGTGAACGCGATTTGGCGTCTGGTCGCCTTTGCGAGAACCCGTGTGTACAACACAATGCAGAGGGATCAGCCACGATCGATTTCTGCGATTAGTCGCTGTCGCTGGGTACCCCACCCCCTTATGCTTTTATCATGCAAGTAGACTGCATTTTCGGTTCTCTCCTCAAATTCTCAAGGAGAAGGAAGGCGCCGACTGGCCCAACGGGGGGGCGGCGGCACGAGAAAAGACTAACTCGTGAAAAAAAATATGGCCCCGTTACGCAACTTTGCCCACCCGGCCGTTGTCCGCCGCGTCTCCCCGAAAAAATAACCTTGGGGCTGAATTTCACGCAGAAATTGCCGAAGAGCGCGCGGAGGAGAAGGAGAGCGGGATCGGTGGCGGTGACGGCGGAAAGAGAAACGGCGAGCCGTGTCCGGCGGACGAGGAGGAGGCTGTCTCTGTTGCTACTTCAGACAGCCGAGGGGCGGCGGCGGCGGTGACTGATGGAGGAGACGCTGCCAAGCAATTACCCCGATAGCCACGACCGCTAGCCGGTAGTCGGCCTTATTGATGTCGGTCGTGAAAAGCTCATGTACCAATCGTGATCCTCTTCAGAGTGAACCAACCGTAAGTAGAAGCAAAGTACCTAGGTGGCTGAAGAGTGCTGCAATGTGATCGGTACTGATGTAGATGTCGGATGACTTCGGGATTTTCGGAGATTGCAATTGTTGTTGTACATAGTGAGGTCTTGAAGGGTGTTTTCGAGCGTGTAAATCTGTTGTTTTGGTTTTTCTGTCAGCGGCCTGGAAATGGTAGCGGACAGATTGGATTGTGGAATTCTTTTTTTGGGGGGGGACTCCGCTGTTCGTCCTTGACGAATGGAAAGACGCCAGTCTTACCTAGCCAACATGACGCCCATCCTCGGGATCCCCCGACGCGGGCTTGTGTACTGTGTGCCTTAGTCTGATGCGGGTATTTTTTTGTTGTTTTGTTTTTCTCCTATCACTGGACTCTGCCGTCTGCCCCTCTGGCCCCTATCCTCCACTTCTACCAGCTAGACGACCCAGCCGGGGTCACATATGAGGGGGGGTTGGACCATGTGTGATCCGTTAGCACCCGAACGGTCTCAGTCACGACCCAAGAAGTGGAGGTACCCTTGCCTTCCTTCCACTTGCTATTTACCACCATCAGTCTCCACGTCTCGTCCCAACCCGTACCCAAACCTCAACCCAACCACACCTGACGAAAGAACCGAGGGCAGCAAGGCAGAAAGACAGCAAGACTCGGATCACCAGGGACGCGCCCCGCAGTCTCTATCTCACCCATACCCGAAAGGACAGAGGTCCCGCAGAACATATAAACCTAGATCGAGCACACCAAGCAGCCCCCGCTTTTGGTGATACGGATACGATCTCAGGAGCTCCCCACAATGGAAATTGCCAGGTTCAACGGCATTGTCATCCTTCCCAAGTAGTCCTCCTTCAACACGGGCCAAAATATCTTCGGTTCAAGATTAACCTACCGTGAATACCTAACAAGACCTCAACTAATGCACCCTCTCGAGAAATTGTCCTCGTCGTACTCATTATACCAACAATGAAATCTCTCTCCACCATTCTTCAACAAATATAACATTCTCTCGAGTCGCTGAAACACAAAAATATCCTCATGCATAGAAACCTTCTCCGCAAAACAAATCCAACCCCCAAGCATGTCCAATACCACCAGAAGAGTACTACCACAATACCTCAGGGAGTATCCCTTCGACGAAGGTAAACTGTTGTGGAACAAAGCACGGGGTACATACCGCATAAATGCGCCTACATGCCTCTTGTGCGCTCTTCTTACCATCCAACAACCAAGCTGAATCACCCTTACGTATTGGTTTGTCCTAGCCAAGCGTGATTTTTTTTTCTTCGCCATCCGAAATGTCAACCTCGCCCAGGTTCTCCCCCTATCGTGCGATCTTGCTCTCGAGCTGAATAACTCCAACCCTGGGTGGCACGAAATACATCATCTACGACGCCTATTTCTCTTAATTTCCCAAACGCGAGAAGGGTTGAGCAGTACCTTCCCTGGAGTTGCACTCAAGACAAGCACTTCCAAAATGCGGAAAGGAAGCACTTCCCTGAGCCCTTCCCGTGGTCAAATCGCCGTCGCCCAAAAACTAGTCTGCAACAGGTATGCATCCCTTCATTTACCACAAGCAACCCTCCCCCCCCCTCCTTGTTCTGGTGTTATAGGGGCGTAAGGTCAATGGTTCAATGACTACGGCATGCGTTTACCCCCAAAATGGTCAAGCACCCTCGAGGAAGGAACACAGTGCTTACAACTGTCTCTGGAAGTGAAAGCACCAGAAAATAAATCAAGTCATACGCAACTGTTATCCGTACGCAAGGAAGTGAGCACAAGATGCCGAAAACCCTTAGCAGGATGCAGCGCACCCTTCATGCGACTCGCCGAATACCTCACGGCGCTTCGCGCTTAGTNCCCCCCCCTTGGTCTGTCGGCCTTGATCGCGCGATCACGCCAGACGACTCTTCGTTGTGGGTTTTTCCCCAGCCCTCTCTCGCCCCGGCACTGCCTTTGACGCCCCCACGAGTTGCGAAACTGACATCGAAACATAGGTGGAATCCACCCTTGTGAGTTTGTAACTCTAAGGCGGGACGTCCCCCATCCCGTCCCACTTGAAACAGCGTTATAGATGCACAAAAAAACTACTGCAGTGCAACTCACGACCCCCCCCTCTAAATAAAAAAATCTTCGAAATTTGACGAATACTTTGCTAGGCTACCCTGTCGAACTAGCTACCAGGGAAGCCCGAGAGATAGTCACGACATCAACAGTTATACCTCATACTTTAGTACGAGTGCAATCCGACGGCAAGAAACGAAAAGGGATTAGACTACTTGATTTGGCTGATCCGAAACCAACGGTGATGATCTCTCGCACAAAGCACGCTGTTGTGCTCAGTCGATGGATTTTCGTATCAGACCAGGCGCGAGGTCCCAAGGCGCGAGGCCAACGGGTAGTTCGTCAGGTCGCTTGGCCCGGGTGCCTCCCGCAAAACGAACGGGCGAACAGCGCATGTTGAACCAGCAAGATAAAGCCGAGCAGAGAGAAGGGCGGTCACCACTTGCCTATCGGTCACAGACTGACAGGTATAGGGCAGATGTGAACTGTCGTTCCTCTCTGCTCGGCTTTCTCAGCTGCCATCCTTGTCGCCATGCGTGTCGCGTTTTGGTCCAGAAGGGAGGAACGGCCCCATCCGCGGCGGTGGCAAGCCTCATGCGCACGCGCCTGCTGTCGCGGCCAGGCGAGTACTCGACGACGACGGCGGCGGCGGCGGCGACGCGGGGGTTTGATTCGCCGCGTGTTCCCGTCTCGCCAGGAACCGTGGACGGCGTAGCAGGCGCAGCCGGGCGCGTGGGCGCAGTAGAGGCGGCACCGATGATGCGGTGCGCGGCCTTGGCGATACCGCGCAGGGTGTTCGCCAGGAACACCATGGACGCCGACCCGGACTCTTCCGCGCGAGCCTTGACCTAGTGAACGGTCAGTCGTACGCAATAATAGCAGAAAACATGATGCGCCGGCTCGTGCATAGACTATTTATACACGATGATGTGGTTATCTGCACGTTATGGTGGAACAACGATTGCTAAATTTTTGGTTCTGTTTGTTTGGTCGTCAACAACACTTTATCTTTTCCTGGAGAAGGTCGTCGTCGATCCTCCAGCACGGTGTCAATGCTTCGAAAATAGCAGTCTCCTGTTGGACGTTTTCGAGTCGCGCGGTCCCCCCTTGTTTTCGGGCACATGTGCTCAGAAGTATCTGCGTAACGTACATCGGTCGATGCGTTCACCATGGCGCAAAAACAAGCTGGTCATTTATAGGTGGAATATCGCAAAGGAAAGGAATGGGTTCAACTGGGAGAGAGCATCGATGCCACTCCACGCCGGGCGCGATAACTCTATCTCGAATCCAAATACGATACAACCGAAACGGCTTCATATCGAAGGGCGTTCGGTGCTTGCTTTCTCAACAAGAAATGTTGGCACGCGGATAGATATCATCGGACTTCACGGCGGCATTCTTGTAGACCAAGAAAAAAAAAACTTTACGCCTGAGGCGCATCATGTGTGTTCTCGTTGAAGGTATTTTTCGTAGGGTTGTCCCACACCTCACCGATGGAAGGGTGCCTCATGTCCCCGGCCCTAAAGGTCCCGCGGTTGTGTAGGCCAAGGACCAGCGCGTGAGCGCCGCCCAGGGCTAGCTGCCACTAGATGTCCTTCCAGTTGATCTCAGCGGCGTACCGTCGGGACGGCATGCATGGGGTTGAAAGAGTGACGGACGCGCGATGAGAGAAACACTTCGGGGGAGGGGGGGGGGGGGGGGGTGGCGTACTCGTGCTTCGCATGCCTTAGTTGTGAAACCTTTGNGGGGGGGGGGGGGGGGGGGGGGGGGGGGGGGGGGGGGGGGGGGGGGGGGGGGGGGGGGGGGGGGGGGGGGGGGGGGGGGGGGGGGGGGGGGGCGTACTCTGATGTTTTGCATGCCTTGGCGGCTAGGCCATTGGCCATGCGTCCTCGAGCGGACGGAGCATCGTTCCCACAGGACCGATCACCGATGGCCAATCGTTCCTTCCCAAAAGCGGATCGAAAGATGTTTTCCCTAGTCTATATTTTCCGATCGATGTCACTTCCTGTCCTTTCAACCCTCGGGTATTCTAAAAACACAAATGCCCAGCCTCGTTTTCGCAATAGCGGTGTTGGTTGCTGAAATAGCCAAGATTTTCTGCCCCAACGAGTTTCGGTCAAGCCGTGCAGCCTGTACCTCCCAGGCATGAAGATTTATCCTCAGAAACCATCGTTCATGTCGTGTTGTTTAGGAGCACGAACAAGAAGACGACGCATCATACCTTGAGTTTTTGGTCTTGAGCTCCAACACCTTGTCGTCGTGTCCGAGAAGCTTCCCCCTCTTTTCGCTCGTCAGACCAGAGGCAGGCTTCGACTTCAACCGTAGCGTGCATGCCCGAGAGGAGAGGGGAGGGAGGAGGGGAACAAACAACGAAAACAGGAAGGACTCATGTTGTGGTACGGGTGGTTGTGTTAGTGGCGACGCTACCCGCTTGTTTGTAGGCCTTTAAGTTCTTCGACGGGAGAAAGTTCAAATACAATCGCCGCTGCGGTTCGAGGCCGAAGGAGAGCTGGCGCCGATGCTGTGTAAATGGCAAAAATGCTCCGCTTGTTTCTACGGGATTGACTCCCCCCCCCATGTGTGGTAGTCGAATTGAAACAATATCTGAGACTTATTAACTATGTCGGGACGCTCCCTGTCCGTTTCATTATTTTTCTTTTCCTTTTGTAAAGACGACAGCAAGCAATCACGAATTTATCCGTCGGCCCACCTCACCCTTGCCTCCTCCTCCTCCTCCCGACGACGAAGAAGAAAGCCCCAGGCCACCGAGCCGTTCAACCAGCAGGTCTTCCGTACTCTTGGCGTCAGCCTTGGCAGAGTTACTTGCACCACCACCACCACCACCACCACCACCCGAAGATGAGGCGCGCCCCGTCCCCTCAGGAACAAGCCTGGTGGAACCAGTCCCGTCGCAGGCGTCTACCTCAGAGCGCACGTAAAGCGCCATTCCATCCATGTTCATCTGGGGAGGGTTAGGATTACACAAGCGACGGGGAAGGGCGCGTTCGGTGAAAAAAAGTATGTAGAAACGAGGACAACTCTACAGTCAGGAACGTGCGCAACTCTTCGGTCGCGTGTTGCTCAACTTTCATCAGAGAAGTGGACCTGACAGAGCACTTGCGCGCAAGGGAGGTGGGGGAATCAGCTTGACCCCAACTTCACCAGCAGCGTGAGAGATATCAGCAGAGGGTGAAAAAGATGGTTGTGAAGACGAAGCCTTCATTACGTCCCCTCTGGACAATATCTCGAACGGGAAGTTGTCTGTGATGCTCTGTATTTACAATGCATCTACGACTACTACTATCTGGAGATGGGACAAGCGATACGTAATGTTCCGAGAATAGTCCATTCAACTAGCCTAAGTTTTCTCCATCATGTTTTATGTGCGTCGGTGCTGTACTACTATTACCATGTAGTTACCCAGAATATTTCGAAATCATGGTGCAAACGTTGCGGAAGGCGTACTCTGCGAACGATGGGCAGGCACGTACAGTAGTTCACGACCTTCGTGACGACGCGAAACGTCCCGGCGTCCTACGGAGCATGCGTATCCTTCTCGGTGAACTTTTCCTCGAAGTTGTGGCCGTAACCGTTGATGTTGTGATAACCTACCGTCGCCCTGGTGAAAACCAGGGTCGGGTCGCCCTGTCCGTTGCTGTCGCCAATGGAGTGGATGAAGAACTTGAAGTCCTGGTTGCCGAATTCGTTGGCCGTGGTGCGACGTATGGAAATGATGAATTATACCACAAATTGCCGAGCGGCAAGAAGCGGGGGAAGCGTGAAAATTTATCGAAAAATTATTGTTCATGAGCCTTTCGATGTGCATGAAAAAAAATACCATGGTAAAATAAAATGCGTGCCTGCGCGGAGTACCCGCTGACTCCAATGCCCCAGTAACTTGCGCTTTCTATCCCCAAAGCTTGTACAAGGGCCCAAGAGCATAGCAGTGGATAAAATACGACTCCAAGTAGTAGATCAAGCGAGCCACCGACACGCACATGACAGCAGTACCGTTGACATTGTCAGGAAGAAAAAACTGAGCGGGCGGAAGGAATAAGACTCCGCAACCCCCCCACCCGCTAACTTCTTTACGTAAAGAAAAGGAACGCTACCGGGGTTGCGCGATATGCACCGCCTGGTTGACCCAACACAACTCACGTGTCCCCGGGGCTACGGCAGAACCTGAGCAGGTTCCTCAGGTTGTTGCGATCCGTGACGATGTCGACCGTGCTGATGTCGAAATCCGTGGGAGCAGATGTCGAGGGAGCGAAACAGCGGCTCGACACTGCTGAATGGTTTCATCCGCGCGCGGTTTTCGTCAACTAATGAACCTCCGCCGTCCTTCGCCAAAATGAACCCGTGACGGCTCATGCGGCTGACATAATTGCGCGGCGCGCCAGGGTCGATGATGCGAGGGTGCCCCTCGCTCGACCTCGTGCTCCATTTGTAAGAGGCTACTACCTCGGTGCCCGTGGGGAGCACGTTGCGGTAGCCAGTCTGCAGATACGATCATACGAAGAGGTTGGATGGCACAACTTTAAGAGCAACACACATCTTGCTGTGATAGTTATAGTGGTTCATAATGTTCGTATACTGCTGTACCAGGTGCAGCCTTGTAGCCTTGTCTGTTGGCGATAGAGCTGGTGGTGCAGACTGAAAAAGTTGGCGATACATCGAGCACGACATCTGTCTGCCTTGTGCGTAGACTGCAGTGCTCTACGAACGACCAGGTAGACCAGGCCCAACACTTGATGCTACACCTTCTGGTCAAGGCTGGTTGCGGGTTGGGGGGGAGGGCGACGACACACAACCGACGGTGATGCCGTCCGGGCCGATTGGCTGGATTCGCAAGTTTTTTCCATTTAGTACAACAGCTTGTTGTTTGGTTGGCACGGCTTTAGACTACTGCATGTATATGTGATGTGCATCATCCACTCAAGGCACGTAGCACAATTTACGGCACTGATCCATAAGTCTTGCACGAGTTCAACATGATGCAGAAACCCTCAAAAATAGAAAACTGGCTGTGATCTGTATATCTGTGGCACGAGGAACTGCCTTGCTCATTACAGTATGCATCCTTTCTGCGTCGAGTGTGTGGACCACATATAGATCTATGCCATGCTCCCTGCTCACGCACACACACCTGAACATCACGAGCGCCAATGAGCTCCTCAGCCATGGGCGATATCGGGGGCGTTTACTGGCGAGAACCGGCAAAAATTGCTGTGGCCGACGGGTGTGGCGGAAAGCGCATCTTGCATGTGTGTCACGGCGTGATCTTCCTCTCTGCCGACCACCCAACAAACATGATACTGCGGTACCCCTCTCTCAGCGATAAAAGTTGGGCTATTAGACTGGATGGACCAACCACGTCGTACGGTACTTGGTGGACTACTCTTTTATTTAACAGATGCAGACAAGCACACACCAAACCTGGTAGGTCATACCCCACTCACCTATCCTTATAGCAGTTGGACAGAGGACAGAGAGGAGGTGAGTTCGTTTTTACACCAAAAAAGATCATTTCGCGTTCAGCACAGGCAAACAAAGAGTGGTTTGTTGTTGTTTTTCACATGAGCTCTATAGTCCACAAAAAATGGGGAGCCCGTGGTCTCAAAACCCGGCACATACGACGCCGCGGGGAAACAAAACAAAAATAGGGTACAAACCACTCGGAAAGAGAAAACTGTCTGGGAAACCGTAGACATCCAGGTAGCCTTTCGCTCACGCTATGGATTCATTGCTTAACTACCTTAGACTTTTTTCTATAGATAGAGATGGATTTGTTGTGTGATATTAAGAAGACAAAAAATAAAAACATGATACATTGTAGAAAGAAAAGAACAGGTATCGCACCGACCGTTCGAGAAAAGAGCCCTCGGAAACCGATGAAAATAAGAGAAAAAAATAAAAAAAGGAGGACGCTTCCCACACCCGCCCAAAGAAAAAATCAAAGGGTAACGTACCAGCACCAGGCACTACGCACCAGGGCATGGGAGTAACGGAGCAAACAGGACAAAGAGGCGGCAGATGGGCAGACAGCCAGACGTACAAAGGTGTAGTTTGCCGAATAAAAAAACAAGCGAAACCAAACGAAGCCACGACCACCGCACTTTTTAGAAAGTAACAACCCGTTCGAGAACTCTCTTGTATGTACCTCAAATAAATATGCATACCCCCTGATGTTCAGTTGGCAACACCTTGTGGCCGTCTGCAGGATCCTAGGTTGGGAACTCGAACACAGTAGTGCAATCATTCTCGTTCATTTCGGGTAAGAACGATCCAGTTGTTGTTGTCCGTGTTGCTTTTCGCCGCACAACAGTTAGTTACAACAGCAGAGTACGCTGTAGTCTGGAATTGAAACTCCGCAGCCTAACCATAAACCTGGCCGTTCCTTTTTTTTGCGTACTAAACTCACTCGTTCGAGGCGAAGCAAGTGATAAAAAAAATTCGAACGGTCTCAGCCAAATAATACCCACGGGGCTGACGAAACGTACAACTTCTGTGGAGAGTATCACTTCGACATCTCTCTCTCTCTCTCCGCATGCCAAAACATCAATTGTTGGAAAAAACTAGTGTGACCTGCGGTGATTCCAGTCATACTCTGCAGCCACCATATTTCAGGATCACAAAAAAATACGGACGCGCCAGCCGGCATCACACTCGCCCCGGTGGTCTAGTAATTAACCTCGCAGCCTGCTAAAGCCCAGGTCATGGGTTCGACTCCCGGCAGAGTGAGTTTTTTCTCGCATATTAAAAAGGAAGCGACGCGCTGCAAAGCTCGTTGTTAGTAAACTTGATCGACTTGATAAGTCGCGAGGGGAGGGATTGCTGTACCCTACTCGCGATAAAAATATCTCAGGCAGGAACCGCAGGAGGGGGTCCAACCCCCCCCTCCTATGTGACCCCCGTAGGGTCGTCTAGCTGGTAGAAGTGGAGGATAGGGGCCAGAGGGGCAGACGACAGAGTCCAATGATGGGAGAAAAACGAAACAAAACAAACAAACAACACTAATCTGGCGGGAGGAAAGCGACGCAGGAGCTAGTAGTAGTATGTTCGTCTTGGCCAGAATCAATCGCATTGTGCCTATACGTGCCATTCTTGTTGTGTCGTTGGGACGAAGCAAGCACTTCATGAGGTACAGTTGGTTTCTTCATAGGACATGGCGAGTGAGTGTGGTTGTGAACAATAGTTTTTCTTGCTTTCGTGGCGCCTCAAGAGGACTGGTTCAAGTATAGTCACCCCGCTTTAATGACGCATTGGTCTCCTCTCGGAATCATCCCGAATATATATTTTGCACGGATCAACAAGGAGACAGACAGTCAGTTCTCTTCGTTCGGCGGCGGCGCGAAGCGCCAATGAACCGTAATTCTATCTACTATCGTAATCGTTCAGGGACGACGAACTGACAGGCAGGGTGTACTCCGTGCTGTTGTCGTCGATGACACTTGAAACCTTCGTAAGTGTTGGACAAACAAGTCGGCATTGTTGCTTCCGTCCTCGTTCCGGCCCACATTAGGTAGAATACGTATGTATACGGTTGATATCCTCCTCATCAACATGGCGGTGGCGCGGCAAGCGCCAGTAGTAGTAAAAATTCCGTGTGTGCTCTCCTCGTCTTCCAAATGTAGAGAGATAAGATAGATCATGACAAGTAGCACAAGTAGATGAACGCCGGGCCTGGTCCGTCAATTAATCAATCAAGTGCCTCCATTCAACACAATGATGCAACAACTTAGCATCCACACGCGGTGAGTGCATTCATTGAGACCTTTGCCTTGGCATCGCTCGATTTGAGCGTTGTCACGATAGGGACAAGAACCTTGTTCATCCTCCTTTGTCGCCCTCACCAAGTGAGCTGAAGCTCTCTGCTAGTAGTACTGATGAATACCTATTGCTACTGTATACATACTAGATCTGCCAAATTTTGAGACCACGGGCTCCCCATTTTTTGTGGAC